CCTTCTCTTTCCCGTGTGTCTGTCAATGGTTTATGAAGTGAACGAAGTTCATGACAGTAAGGGGTGGAGTTTGGAGGGGTGAGGCATCTTTGTGCTCCAGAATGACAAGATTAGTGAGGTGCATGTGTGCGCGTTCTCTCAGAAGCAACATTAAATGCTACAGAAGCTCATCATTCCACATATTTAGGTGACTGCTGCACATTATTCACAGTTCACAGCTGCTTTTTCAGGCTTCCTGACTCACTCAGCTGCCATCCAGATTTTGGATAGGTGTTAATAGCCAATGATTCCTAAGCGTTTTGGCTCGCAGCACCTGATAATGAAGGGGTGTGTGCTGGCTGCCCAATGTTTTGCAGGATATCCACATATAGTGCACAATAAGCAGCGAAGATTGATATTCCTGCTTTTGGTTTTTTTTTCCTCACGGCTCCTCTTCTAATCTAAATAATTGAATGAATCTAGACGATGCAACCACGTGCATAATAACTTATTACTCTTAAAAGATTTACTATTTCAACAGATTTTCACTGTTCAACAGAAACAATGATTTTATTTATCTTATCCGAAAAGGTAAGAGTACGCAAACATAGGGTGTAAATATTTCAATACAACAGGCTGCACAACAGTTGTTCTACTTTTTTCTTTTAAAAAGGATTTATTGTCTTCTGGTTCTACACCAGTGAATGACTATTGATACTCATATATCCCTGCATATAATGCTTTGAGGACTTTATTCAATACTCCATTCTGCTGAATACAGATAGAAGGTGTTGGTGCCCAGTGCCTGTTGCTAAAAACACAGAATACACATTAAACATCTTCTGCGTTACCTGGACCTGCAGTTCTCATCTGGTAGAAGCTAACCCTTCAGCCAAACCTCCCGTTCCCTCGGCGAGCTAACACATTTATTATAAAGCAGCCTAAGTTATCATTATCCCTTCAGCACATTTATGCTGTGTGATTCTGGGCTGTCTAAGAAAAAAGTTAAAGGCGTGAGAGAGGACTCTCATGCAGGCTGACACAAACCTTGATTTGGCAACTAAAAATAAGCTATGTTGACAATACTTCTGAACGCATGCTGATGGTATGGTATGCTTTTTTAAACTTAGTCCTTTCTTTATTGATTTAGATTCTGACAGTTTTATTGACATACGTTAAGCTTGATAAACTTGGTACACAGTCAATGCCCTCATTGTTAAGGCACTAGCAAAACTGTAATTACTGAATTTATAATTATAGTCTTTACGGCATAGATAATGTACTGCTGCCCTGCTCTGTCTCCGCACAACAGCATGCAAAGTAGATTTTTCTCAGCCAGGGCTGTTTTGCAGAAATATCCCTTTCCTTTCCTTCCACCCTTGTCACTAAAGTCAGACGAAGGTCAGGCTGATTTAGAGGTTTTCCTAAGAACATGAGGTCCAGTGTGTTATTCTAACCCTGGGTCCCCGTTTCTTCTTTTGGCTTTAACCCCAGCATCACATCGCAGCCTTCCAGGCCAGGAGTATCCTTCTGTCCCCAGGGCAGCACAAGGACAACTACTGTTGTCTTTTCATCACAGTGTAAGCTGCTTAATCCAACGGCCTCGTTTATTTAGACAAGGGATCAACAGGGGTTTGCCCAATGGATGCTGCTGCCAGTTCCACTGTGGTTAGCAAACTCTGGCTCCTATTCACAAAGCAACAACTCACACACACACACACACACACACAATGTCGTACTGCGTAAAACAGCTGTCTCCTCAAGCCAACACATCCACTTACTTCACCATTTCTTCAACGATGTTTTTCAAAAGTCTCTGAAAGCCAGCAGCACATTGAAGCCCAACGCTGGATTTTGAGTTGTCTGACAACGAGGAGGATTCTTCGTTATACGATCACCTTCATTCATTGTGGTCTTTTTTTTTTTTGGGTGGACAGCCAAGGTACTTAAGATTTAGATAGTGGACAGGGAAGTTGATGGTCCGTTGATGTTTTTGGAACTGAAATTTAAATTCTTTCATCTTCATTCAAAAGCCTGGCTTGGAGATAGTTCTGGAGATCTGGTTGGTGGCTGTTTCATGTACTTGGAGAGAGGTGGAACATGCTACAGCCAAGATGTAGCTTAAACAAAAATGATTAGGGGTTGGATCAGACATTTTATCATCCAGTTCAAGCTGGATGTGTGCTGAAGGAGTTTTTTAAACCCAGTTATACTTGGTCACCTTTCCTTTTACACGTTCAAAGGTGGAGAAAATCTCCCAACAAAGTGTGGGTAAATGACAAGTTTTTCAAAAGATTATCTTTTAGAACTGAGCTGTTACTTAGTATAGGAAAGGAGCACAAATCTGAAATAATAAAACATCTGCCAAAAGTTCTAAATACATAATCCAAACAAATTCCTCTTTAAAGCTTTTCTAAGCGGCTTTCTGCACAGTTTGAACTGTCCTGTGTGGAGCTGACGACTCAACCTTGCCGGTCTCCCACTGACAAACTTGAGTGGGGAAGAAGCAAAAAGCTCAAAGATACCAGTCTACTACTGAAGCATTGAGCAGGAGATGGTTCTGAAGGGAGGGGAAAGTAAGGCTGGCACCAGACAGATGCCTCCTCCTGTCTGCCTCCGGCCCATCACCCTAACCAGCCCTGATGGCCAAAATGCTTTGCTTCCATGATCGAGGCCAAGCGGACAGATCATCAGCTCGGCACAGCAGCTTGAGGTAGGGTCAGTAATGGCTGTCTGCTGTTATTCTAACCATTAACATAATGGCAACATTAGTTCCAGGGCCACGCTTCTCTGCTCCTAGGGAGCCATTGTTTAAAGGCACCAGCTTGAGCCCCTTTTTGAAGACTCCTCCAGTGGCCACAAACGCTTTGAAGACGCTCACAGGGGGAGATGGGGAACACAGACGGGCTATTCATGAGTCTAACATCAGCATAATTTGTGTTTAATTTTTCAAAGTGGTGATCCACATGTTGAGCTTTCATTTGAATTGTGACAAATAGCATAATGACTTCCTTATAATTATGAAGATGTCAGCTTTAATCTCTTTTTTTTGTGGTCTGACCATGTGTTCTCCAGTCTAAAGTTCTAGCTCTAGCTCTTACAAGAGTAAGCATTTACTGTCTCTTATTCTTTTCGTAGTGAAACTTTTGATTACAAGGGGGTATCTGTAGCTCCGGATTACCTGCTGAAGTGTAAAATGTAAATTTCACATGACTTTGTGAGTTTAAGCCTATTGTAAAATAACATTTCTCTTAAACATTTTTCAAGAATCAAAATCTACACCAATTAACTACGCCGAAGTCAGTGCTTGAACTCACCTTGCCACAGAAACCAGACACCCCTCAACAGGTGACTGAATCGTCCGCTTGACATGTTTCCTGCTCCCGCGCCCTTCATTCACACACTGTGTTCAGAATATAAACTGTGATCCGTGGGAAATCCAAAACACAGAGATGGCTCCTGTCAACAAGAAACAATCATGCAGGATACCAACATGACAAGAGCTCATGAATGAAGTTCCCAGTAATCCCACAGACAAAACTCTAATTTCCACTTCAGCCAAAAAGGTGTTTTGTTTTGTTTAAAAAAACAAACAAACAAACAAGCAAAAAACTCTTCTTCTTTTCTTTTAGCTCCAATTCTTGGCTTCCATGGTCTGATAAAAAAGGTCCTCTGTTGAGGTCATCCGTTCATGAAACTTCTCCACAGTGGTGCTTTCCTTGAGCTGACGCGGGGTGAGAATAAACTCTCTCTCTCAATCACACACCGTTGTCTCACTCCAGCGCAGCACTGTGAATCTGTTCCACTCAAAGCATGTGCAGTGAGGGTGTGTGTGTGTGTGAGCAGGAGGATTGTATGTGTGTGCACTCCTGTCTGGCTCTTATAGTTTTGAGCTGAGAGGAGGGAGTAAAGAGAGAGAGAGAGGGATGGAAGAAGGGAGGGCAGATATAGGGAAAGTTTCAGCGTGTGTGTTTGTGTGTGTGGAGGAGGGGGATTGAGCTTCAAGCTTCCTTGAGCGAAGACTCTGAGAAGCTTTCAGAGCAAGGTGCAAAAGGGCAGGGATGAAAAGAAGTTACTGTTACAGTCACAATGCCGCAGCACGACTCGGTTAAACAACAACATAAAAAATTAATGTATAGGTTCAGGCAAGGAGCTGCAATCTCAGTATGTGACATTAGAGAGAAAAAAAAAGTCAGTTTGTGTGGGTCAATACTGTCACCGGCTAATATTTTAAGACACACAACACTCTGTGACCTCTATTCATTAACAGCTGTGGTGAAGCTGAGACTGAGGTATACTTAGTACATATTCTT